GATACATTTGGGATGGAATACTTATGTGTATTTTATGAAACACAGCACAGCAATGTTTCAGTAGCGTCTGTGATTGGTTGTATGATATATAGCTGCTTTATAGTTCAACCCCCACAGGACGAGGAAGAAACGGGGCAGCAAATCATTTCTGAAAAATATCTACATTATTGATATACTCCCCTAGTTATTATCTGTTATGCAGACAAAAGGTGTGAATAATTGAAGAATTGTTGGTTTTCTCATGCTGGATCATTTGTCTTTTTTAATGTTTCTTTTACAAATTAGATCATTTTTGGCTGCAGTCTGCTGTATAGGTTGTCATTTTCCATGGTCCGTGTGATATGTTGCCCTACTTCATGGACTGGTTGCTCTCTTCAATACTTAGGTCTGGAAGTTTTTGTCATTTGATTATAACATTGACTTTTTCTTTTTACAAACCATTATTATACTGAATCAATATTATACTGAATAAGATTAAAAACGCACTTCAGTATTATTTATTTCAGGACATGGTTTGTGTTCAACAAAAGTAAAATGCATGGTAACAGACCATACAAAGAAGTTGAAATTGAATAGAAACACGGACAGTTTTATAATGTATGAAAACAAAACACAGTTCTTGAACTGACCTGCACTTGACTCAACACAAATTAAATGCTGGTTTCTGTCTTGTCAAGTTAATTCCAGCGAATTTCTGTTTTCTTAGCGCAAACACGAGCCTGTCATTGGCTTCGTGCGCTCACCTGACATCACACCATTTCGCAATAAGATACAAGTTCTCGACATTTCATTACCAACCATCTCATGTCAATTATTAATTTTTAACCTGTATGGGTCAGTCATGTGTAGATAAGGTCTGTTTTAATTCACCGTGTTCTGTTCAATAATTGATTTGGGGCTAAAGGTCAAATTTCTTTCTTTTTAGCCTTAACGGTTCACACAACTGTAAAGAAAGCAAGAAAAGTCTCTTTTATCATTTATGAACTTGTACAAAGAGGCTTTCATTGTGTGGTTTAGTTGCTTTTCTGTACAACATTCACCAAAATCTTTTTGCAGAAGAAAATTTGTATGTATGAAAATACCCGAGTTGACTCAAAATGAATGAATTCCTCATTACACACTGCATTAGAATATCATTCAGTTTTCCAACAACCCAGTGTGAATAGCTGTTTAAATACAATTCCTGGTTGAATGATAAGAGTTACTAGCCAGGCCATTAAATCTGTTAGAAAAGTGATAGTTAATTGCGCAGCAGCTAAAGTCCTTTTATTTTATTATAGCTATGCAATGTAGGTGATGCTTTGTAAAAAAAAAGGATCAAAAAGGCCCATACCATATTCCTGATAAAGAGTTGTTTAATATGTTGGTGCCAACTATGTGCTCCTTACTCTTAAGGTCTTTTTTTTTTTTTTTGGGGGGGGGGGGGGGGGGAAAGGGGGGAATAGGGTGGAGTTGACTCACTTGCAAAATAGGTGTCACTCTTGTATACACAATGACTCTAATTTTCGCCCCCTCTTGACCTTACTGCACGGAAAGTATAATATTATGACTGAGGGGAGTGAGCTCAGTTTTGTTTGACAGAAGACCAAGTGCATTATACTCCAGCTTTGAAGTTTTCAAAAACGTAATGAATACGCTTGTTTCTGAGATTTTCCACAAGATTAAGGGTGTTATACATTCAGGGCAGCAGCTTAAGTTTATACTCTCTGTCTGACTTTTCCATTCTTACAAAGAGTGTGCAGGCATACTCACAAGTCACCCAAGATTGTAAATATGCTGAAATCCTGCAACAAGTGCATGAAGGAGAACTTGAACATGCAGCGTTTTTCATCTAAGATAACAATCGAGGCAGCTTGGTGTCTGTTTATCACAGAGCGTCAGTGAAAATTCAATAACATTTTAGTGTAGAACTTCTTTGTTTTAATGTGATAAAAAGATAGGCATATTCTATTTCTATTTCTCTGTTGTCATAATAGATATAGATTGATGTAAACACTGTCAATAAGGACCTTTGACATCTCTTCTCCCCCCTCCCACACTTTTTATTCTTATGATATTTGTAATGAAAGTAAAAAAAAAATTACAAATCATTTTAGCTGTCCTTTTCAGTGGGGCAGAGAATTTTTGGTAAGAACCATATTTTAAACTTTTTCACAATTTCTACTCCAGTAAAAATGATTTGATTCAATTCTGTTTTGGGTGAGACATGAAAAGCACACATTACATGAAAAAAATGTCAACAAATGAAAATTGAGACAAATTTTTTCAACATTAGCTTTGTTGTAGAAGGGAAATTTCGAAGACAACAGGGTGTCTTTACTTGACTTGTTCTGTAAATAGGTTTGAATGTTCAGTGTAGTGGTGTGCAAATTGTGATTTTGTACCTGAAAATACTAATGTCTTTGCACTTGGTGAGCAATTTGTAAACAGTGACCCCCAGGCTGGGTGTGGGCTATTGACACTTTGCCATCTAGAGGAAAAATAAGATTGTGGTGTGGTGTTGCTTTGAAAATTTGTATGCTTTAATTATTTTTAATCTGTTTTTAACCCAAGAATATTTTCAAATGGGTCTTTATAGGAGTTCATTGTTTTCAAGGCAGTCTTTTTTCATATCTTCGTATATTTAATAAACGAAGAATCATTTGTGAAAATTCGTATTTTCAAATGAAGCATTGAAGGAGGAGAGAGAAGGCCATGTTTTTCAAGTCATTTTACCGACGAGTTGACACTTCACGCCTGATTTTATGACAAGAATTATTGTTCCTTGAACATAGCTTTTTGTGACATTATTGTGATTTTGTTTTTGAACAATTGGTTACTGAGGATACTAGAACACATCATTTGCTGTGCTGCTAAAAAAAAAAATAAAATAAATAAAAGAGGGGGAACAAAGAAAATTTCCAGTTTTTATAATACTGTGTTATCAATTCAATTCCAGGGGGAAAAAAATCCTTTTTTGATAAAAAGAAGACTATTTATGTTATCAGAAAAAAAGACCACAAGTGCTTAAGTGCATAATTTGATAGAAAATATATTATAACTGTTGAAGAATACATTCAATTAGACCCTAACTGGATATGTTTACATATTAAAAGAACATGGATTTCAAACTAAATAGGCTAAAAGCAATTGACTTAATGAAATTGAGCATCCCACACTTTATAAGATTACCATTACAAAAAATTACAAGCTTAGTCGCTGAATCGTGAATTATGATATCAATTAATGTTTTAGGATAAACAGGTGAACATGTGGCGCCAAAGCTGGAGGCAAAAAGTCTGACAAAAAACCAAAGAGGCATGAATCAATGCGACAATTTAGCATCTAATTGTTATGTTATCTTTTAAGCACTTATTGAGTGCATCGGAAAGTAAGACCTTTTGTGTCTGATAGATGGGATATTATCTGTCCTAATTGAATATTTGGGTTATTAGCATTTACAATGGGATTATGTGATACCCGGGGGATGAGACATGCAAAAATTATGATGAGGATTATATTCTTTATAAAAGATGTACGTTTGTAATCCTCTGTATTTGTTAGACATTGTGTGTGCTTTTCATCAGGATGCCTATTGTCATGATTATTGTATGATGTTTTATGTTCTGGTTGAATTATAATGAGAAACTGAGGTTGTTTACCAAATCTGGGCAGATGCACCACAACCCTGGAAATTATTTTTAAAAAAGGAATAATCAAGTGTTGAAGAATGAGGCTGTTGAACAATTTGACTCTTGTAGATAACAGTGATCTTTATTATATAATAATAATAATAATTTATTAAGCAGAGAATTCTTCTTCACAATTATAGGCTTTCTAACATCTATGAATAACACAGTGTTATATAGAAAGGCACTTTCTCTTCTGCTCTGTGGTATTTGCTTGGTTGATGAGTGCTACTGGATTTTAAGTGTCCTAACGAAATAATGGAAAGTTTTTTAAACATGTTTGACCCATGACATCTATGTCACTATATTGCTACACCTGAGAGAGAGAGAGAGAGAGAGAGAGAGAGAGAGAGAACAAGTAAAACTTACAAGTGACTCCCTAGAATAGATTGCTCAGAGCAGGGCACTTTACAGTAGTTTTGTCCACCGGGGGCAACAATGTAAATGAAATAAAAAAGTGTTTGTTAGCAGTTTTAAAAGTGTGACAGACATTACACTGATGTGCAGGACTGTCTTGCCATAACTGAAAGAGAGAGAGAGAGGAAAAAAGGAAAAATGCAAGTAAACAATTGGAAATCAACCTGCTTATTTGGACGTGAGGGCGGAGCAGAGGCTAATTGATTAAATTGTACTCTGGTGAAAAACTGCTGTAATTAGAAGCTCATTAGTTTGTGCTGATTTCCCAGCAGAGCACCTTGATCTGAAATCAATTGTCTTAACGACGGGGACAGCTGGCAGCATGGGCTGTCTTTTACTCACACATCACCCCCGCCTGTCCCACTGAGAGATGGGATACAGTCTCCTATCAGATCTCTATCTCACCAGGCGTGTTGTTTTATATTAATGAGGCGTTAGAGGTGTAATTAATAGCTTAGATGAGGTGTTTGGGTCAGATAGAGATAGACATACCAGTACATTGTTTGATGGGGGATGGGTGGTCATTGGTTGTAATAATAAGGTATGCTGTGTTGATATGTGCTTAATCAAAAACTGTGATTCTTCTGCATGTGGTTATTTTATTTATTTATTTATTTATTTATTTATTTTGCCACTGTCAGTGGTTTTTACTGTTATGATATACAATACATTTATATTTATTCAATTTTCTTTCTTTTTATTGCAGTCATGGTGTTCCCACCAAAACTTGATTTCCCATCATAATTCATTCCCAACTCTTGATGATTAGTCCATTTTTTATAGAGTTGCAGACAAATTGTATATGGAAAGAGCTTTTATCTTGATTTCTTTTTTCACCATTTTCTTTGATTTTGAAGAGCATTACTGAGTTTTTTACAAAGATAAATGCATAATGGTAAAAATTTATTTTTCCAGATTATTGCCAATATTTTGAGAAGAACTGAGTGAAACAAAGGACAGTGGAATATTTTCCTACAGCCAAATATCATTTCCCAATGCGAACAGTATAGAATTGGACACAGGTTACTTGTATGCCTTGGGTGGTGGAAAAATTGCAATATGTATATAAAGAGAATGACTTTATAAAGTCTCCTTGTAAATGTATGCTTGGGATGTTCATTATTTGCTATCTTTATTTTGTTTTTAACCTCTCCTTTTTAATGTAATTGATTCTGAAATGTTATGATTGTGAAAGCTGTGTAAGTTGTAGTGCAGAGTGATTTTACAGTATTTGTGATGATTGCAAATATTTAATTGTAAATAATATTTTAATGGACAGTGTTATTGGTTATTAGTAATGAAAGGTTTAATGGATATATGAGATGATTTTTTTCTCCATTTTTTTACCACACTAGGATTTTACTGTGACATTTCAAAGAGAATTATAAAAAGTGCAAAGATGGAAAGTTTTAAAAGATTTTATTGATAACTAGTGAAATTTTACTAAATTTTTGGAAGTTTGGCTGGGAGGGGGGTGGTTGAAATGTGGTGTGGTATGTATGGTATTTCCCATCAGTAGCCTTTATCTTTATTATCATGATAATATAACGTGTGCTGACCCATGCAGGGGAGACGTGGAGGCATCTGTGCTGTTTTATCACATAATTTTGATAATTCTGTCACATTCCTTGATTACCTTGTAGTTGGGTTGTTGATATATAGAGGGAGGGTAATCAGAGGGTTATCATCTCATCACAATTACCAAGAAACTGTCTATTGCTGTCTAATACTGATATGTTTGAGGCACCATGCTGCTCACATGTTTAAGCCTTGGGGACCATTCCCAGATCGTATTGTACTGTGGATCGATCTATCTCCAAGAGGATTCTCGCTACATTGCAATCAACTTAAGCAGCTGAGATGTCTGTCATGCCTACTGAAGCTGCTAGGGGGTAATTAATTATCGTTTAGCAGCTTCAGTCACATGCCACACATCTAAGCCGCTTAAGCTGATAGCAATTTAGGATGAAACCCCTTGGAGATAGATTGATCCTGTTAGATCAATTTAGGTATGGGAATACAGTCTTGGTGTGCTCATTGTTTTGCATGTAAGGAGATGGTCACTTGGTGGATCCTTGGGGACCTGATAATTGTTCCATAATCATCCCTTAATGATGTTTGGGTTTTGTGAATGGAACCATGAAAAATGAGGGGTATGTTATGTCATAATGGCTGTGTGTGATGGGAGACAATGGCCTCAGTGAAGGGTGGGTTGTGTGAATGGCACAAAATCATGTATTGCTTGAACTCCTGGATCTCTGCTGACCAGATCAGTGATGGCAGCACCATCACGTGTGAGTGGGACACTTGTTGTGGTTGTGATATCCTGACCTTGGCTAATTATCGTTCTGGAAGGGCAAGTGACCACTGGATACAGGTGCAAACCTATAGATCTTCACCTGGCAGACATAGTGAAAAAATAGGGAAGGGGGGGGGTGGCAGATATAAGAGTCTAGTGCAAAGACATAGATAACAGGTGACATGGTGACTGTCTGGGGGAGGGGTGTCTATTTTGGCAATAGCTTA